GCAAAACTATCTGCCTGCTTTCGCGATCCGATCGAATGTTACTTTCCTTTTTCGGCTGCGGTGAAACTGATATTTTTATAATTTTTACAATGCTGGCCGGCAACCGTTTTCGGTGAAGCATTATCAAGTATATACTACTGATACTACGTTACTATATTGAGTAGAGAATATTACCATATTTGTTATAGTTCAAGGAAAAAAATTGGTAGACGTTAAATGCTGGAAACCAGCGACTTCTTTTGATAATCAAGATCACTACAGCTATTTTTTACGCTTTATTGGACGTATTCCATATAGCCCTTAACTACTGAGCAAAGTTTTATGTACGTTGTACCTGACCACGGGTCAGATTGACCCATATAGATTTTTTTTTAATTTATAATGAATTTTAAGAAATAAAATTTAAAGGATTTTTTATTTTAGTGTATTTTTTACTAATTTATAATATACTGTATAGAAAAAAAAAACGCGAACAGTTTCTTAAAACTAGTCAATACAAAAACAAATCAATGTAGACAACAGAAGTGACAAATACGAGAAAGGCCATTTTACAAAAAAAATCGGTCGTCGATAAAATTAAAAAATATTTGTACTAAAATGTATTTAGGGGCGGGGGTAGTTTTCACCCCTCCCGTACTTTCTCTTAATTTTTGTGAAAGCCAAATATAAAAGCACTTAAAAAATGTCTATACCTATGTGGCGGATTCATCTCCTTTAAAATCAATTTAAAATCCTTTATGGGTATTTCGCCACTGCACTGCAAGAAAATCTACAAAATAAAATAGTTATTTTTTGTAAACACTTCTGCGTTAAACCTAAACGGACACTGCTTGTCAGAAGTTATATTTACAGTTATAGAAATTTGCCTAGCAAAGAAAAAAATGCTTAACGTCTCGGAAAGTTTATATCTTTCCGTCGTCGGAAGCAAAAAATACAAAGAATAAATAAAAAAACTATTTAAAATATTTAAATTCAACTATTCGAGAACACTTTACTTTTTTAAAGCAGATACGTCTACAAGAAACCGTTGACGTTCTGTTAAAATGACATTATATCAAGTTAAACTTCAAAATTAACAATTACTACCTGATAACAATTACTTAATACGGTAAAGCCCCAAACTTTCTGTATGATTATTTTTAAATTTTACGTATGTTATGTTTATTTATGTTATGTTCTTTAAAATCAAAGAAGCGATTGCCATACATTACTAACATCTACAGATGCATGAGCAATACATTTATTTTTATTAGATTGAATTAAAAAAGCCTCTTTTATTTTTCTTTTAGAGGCTATCGCTTCTTTCATTATAATTTTGGCATTATTAAAATTTATTCTGTGTTCTGTGTCCCATGAATGCTGATAAATCTTAGATTTGTGAAAATTTCGCTTTCTTAAATAATCTTTGTGTTCTTTAATTCTAACATTTATAGGTCTAGATATTTCACCAATGTAAAATTTATCGCATTCACATGGTATTTGGTATATTACATTTTTTGTTTGTTGTTTTGTATTCATTGGTTTAGTATGTGATAAAATGGATCTAAGTGAATTTTGCGTTTTGAAAGATGTTCGTATGTTATATTGTTTTCCTATCCTTCTTATTTTTTCCGAAACGCCTCGTATGTATGGAATTGTCAGTTGTATATATTGTGTATTGTTATCATTGTGTGTATGGTTTGGGGTTTGTATGTCGTTTAATGTTTTGTCACTAAAATATGGTGGATAGTCATTTTTTATTAATGTAGTTTTTATGTGGTTTATATCTCTGTTTAGTTAAATTTCGTCTATACATATTAACTTTTTATAACACCTTTTTTTTCACTTACACTTCATTAGATGTGAAATTTAAATATCTATCTGTGTTTGTGGGTTTCCTAACAAAAAAAAACTTAGCAAAACATAGGCACCCCAAAGATAATTCAAATAGGAACATTGGTTCTTAAAATATCTTAAAAAATGTGTTTATTTCTTAAGAACTTTTGTATAAAGGTATACTGTGTCCAATGAACTACTACTACGGAATATTGGGATACTCTCTTTATTTACGTAGTTATATACGTACAAACAGTACGTATTAACTGTTACTTTATGTTCTGGTAAACAGAAAGTATGTAGTAGAATCGTGTACCCTCTAGTACTCTCTAAGTCCAGTAGGTCTGTAGGGAACATATTGTCATAAGTAAAATATTATTTTCTGTCTTTTACTGTTCATTTTTAATAAATTTAAAGAATCCGATATTTTTTATGACTCTGATTAACTAAAGTTATCATTTGATTAAAAAATGTCTGGTTAATTTTGAACTTCTTCGCTCCTTATATTTAAAGACTAACTAGATATATTCACATCTAGTAGAGATGAACAAAATTGCGATTATAATAATAATATCTCCCGTATATAGCGTTTAACGCCTTGGGAGTAGCAAGGTACAGCTTGCCATGCTATAGCCGTTCGGTACACAAGGAAGGTAATGTGGTTAGCACTATGCTTCAACCTCCTATTACTCAGGATTGTGAATCCCAAGTACTCATTTAAGGCTGAGTCGACCTAGGTACCCAAACTATTTTTATTTTAATAAAAATAGTCGGTTGATGAAATGCCGGCTGCAGGATTCGAACCCACACCCCACACCTTTAGATTGGTAGACGAGAGCTGTACCTCTACGCTACCGGGAACCGTTAAATTGCGATTGGAGAATCGCAATTTAAACTGCGATTGAGATCTTTAAGTCGCTGCGACTGTAACCTGGAATTGCGATTTTAATATTTAAATATTGTACTAGGTATATGTCTAATTGTCTGTGTACGAATTCAATTGAAAGGGTGGCTGGGGTAGCTCCACTTTTTTTCGTAAACGAGATTTTTAATGAAATGCCCTTTAAAAAATTTGGCCGATCGTTTCCTGCTACAATCAGTTCTCTCAATATAACAGTACATAAATAGCGACGTTAGTTGGAGCTGTCTTGCTCTGGGTTTGCAGCAAGACCCGAGCAGCTCTTTCTCGATTTCCCACAAATTGATTAAAATGGAGCTGCCTGGTTATTGCCAGCCACCCCTTCAAGTGATTTAAAATTATATTATATTTGTATTGAATCCTCTTTCACCATAAATAACTTCAACTTTTGATTTTTTAATGACACTTTCGGTTTTTTATAACTTTATTCGATAGAAAATGACACTCTGAATAGAATGACATATCATATGTGAACTTTTGACATTTTCGCATATGGTTTAACTGGAAATTGTAACGTGCGGTTCATAAGGACAACAATTTGACTCGATATACCAAATGTGTAAACCAGATTATTTGTAAAAAATGCTTTTTCTAAATAATGCTGAGAGCTACCCTCGTTCCATTTGAAAAAATTGAGATATGATTAAAAATACGATTTGGGCATCTTTTAATCGGCCAGGTTTAAAAAAAACGTTTCGGCTAACATTATAGCCTTCATCCGTGTTGTGTCGATAACAAAGTACAATTTCAATTTACTTGTTACAATTTTTTTTTTCTCAGCATAAATCCGGTTTTAGCAACTAAGTCGGGATAATTCTTATCAACGACCTAATCGCGGTTCAACACAGTGCGAACGATAGAACCGGTAAAAAGAATTGTGGACTTCTGCATGGTAGAGATGATTCTTTCCTGGTTGTGAAGTTGGAGTTTCTTAAGGCTTTGAACAAGGTTTACGTCTACTAGGCCGTTACAGGTAAGTATTATTGGTAATATAAAAGTCTTGCTCAAATCGTATATGGCTTTTAGTTCTTGTGCCAGTGCCTCATATTTTGTGATTTTCTCTTTTCTTGCATTTTTAATATTTTCGTCTAGTGGTATTGTGATGTATAGCAGGTAAGCATGTTTTTGTTTTATATAGAAGACTACTATATTAGGTCTATTATGCTGCACAGTACGATCTGTGATGATGTCAGTATCCCAGTATACTTTTACGTTTTCGTCTTCTACTATTTTTTCAGGTAAGTATCAGTGTAACTAATCAGGTAGTACGGTGTAATTTCATTTAAAAGATTTTCTTTTTTGCAGATTTCTTGGTGTAGAATACCAGCCACCCGGTTATTCCTGTCCAGATAATGCCGCGGTGCAAAATAAGTACATCCAGAGCAGATGTGTTGAATTGTTTCCGGAAAGGCATTGCATAGTCGGCATCTGTCATTAGGTAAGTCCTTTTTGGCTATTATTTTTAGGAAATTTTTAGTGGGTATTTACTGGTCTTGTATAGCTATAATAAATCCTTCAGTCTCAGCTCTGAGCTCTCCATCTCTGAGAAAACGCAATGACAGATTTCGGTCAACATCGGGGTTATATGTGTTGGATGGATATCTACCGTGCAAGGCTTTCCCTTTCCACCCTTCGGTTAGTTCCTCAGCACCCTTAGTACCTACAGGTAATCTTTGACCTGCTAAGTTTAAAGGTGTGAGATTCCTGTCAGCGGTCTTAATAGCTGAAAGGAGAGGGTCATTTGATTGGTCAAAGTAATGCTGCAGACTTCTGATGTGCTTTTCATGCATAGCAATGAGATTAATAATTCCTCTTCCACATTTGTCCCTTGGCATGTAAAGTCTAATGGTTGAAGCATTGGGGTGGTGCATTCGGTGTCTTGTCGTTGATGGTCTGACTTTCCTATCAAGAGATTCCAGGTCGGTTTGTAACCATTTTAGAACTCCGAATGTATTAAGAATTACAAGTGCTGCCCACACACTGATCGCAGCTATTTTATTCTTCGCATGAAGCTCTGTTCCTAAGACTTTACAAACCCTCTTCATAAATGCAACCTCCGCAGTCTTCTTTATTACTCCATCATCAATTTTTAGAGCTTGATGGATATCAAGATATTTGTAGGTTTCACCCAGATGTAACGGCGAGAATGTTATTTCGTTAGTTAAAATAATCTCGTTAGATTCTTGGATTTTCCCTTTTGTACAATGCAAGAATGCACATTTTTCCATACCGAATTCCATATGAACTCATTTGTTATTTTCTCAACTCATTTGTTTATTTTGTTATCATTTGTCAGGTATGTATGTAGTACTCTGATAGTTACCCTAATATCTTTTATTTTATTTTCCAGTCTCCTCTTCCAAGGTGGTATTTGAGGTTTATGATTTGATGATTGCACCATCTCTCCTATCCTTAATCCGGTAACATGAGAGACAGCAACAGCGGCGCAGTAGATTAGATTACATGTGTTCTGAAGAGATAAACTTTGCAGTAAGTATTGACTTAATGTTCTATTCATGATGGCGACAGTTGACTTTGTTTGATTATTATATTTAATTTTAGGAAGCCTTGGACGACTTAAGAAGTCAACACCACTATATTTCATAAGGTACTTTTCAAATATCCGTCCAATTTCTTCGGTTACTATGTTTTCTTCAGGGTGTGGTATGACGGAGTGCCGTGATTGTCTGCGAATTAAAGATGCCCGTTCACGAGATTGAGGTGTGTTGTGAGTGGTCTCTGAGATTTCATTTAGGTTGTCATTCTGTTCCTGTTCCGGTTCTTGGCTTTCTGCTAGTACTGCTTGCTTTAGACGATCCAGTACGAGACGTTTCCTACGTAATACTGAGCGTAATTGGTCTGCAAGTTGTTGCGATTCTCTAGAGAAATCAGGTCTAAGACTGATCCACTGTTCGTAAAGCCGTATTCTATATCCTGTCTTGTTTTGTTCGCCATTGGTTGCCCTGTAGTATGCGCGTATCAAATCTAGGTTATCATTCCCGGTCCAGCGCACACGTGCTCGTACGGGGGTTAGGAACGGGGTCATGTTGAGTATGACCCAAGTTTTCTAACCCTCCATTTTCGGTGCTTTGTCCGTTTCCGTCGAGTGACCATGTGGTACGATTTCGCGTTGGGGCGCCACTTGTTTCCCCTTCCTCCGCTAAGGTCAGTTCAGACTGGCGAACAGGCGCCGATCCTCCACCTGTCGCATCCGAGGCTTGTTTTCTAGTTTGTAGAACCGATTATTTTATCTTCCTTTGAAGGGTGGTTAGCTCGCCAAAGGGGTAGTTGTGACCGTCTAGGGTCAAGTTTTGTGTAATGTGTCTATATGGGGATAGGTGTACTATGGGAAGATAGTCTGTATTAGCGGAGCCCGCTCCCGTCGGGGTATGGCACAGGCTGTACGGTTTACCCTGGGCATCGTAGCGGACACAGTAATGAGCCCTATCCCGGTTACTTTACTCTGTCTAGCCTGAAAAATTATTATTATTTTTTATCTGTTATTTTATTAAAAAAAATTACATAGATTTTTGTGACAAGTAAATTGAAATTGTACTTTGTTATATATAGACACAACACTGATGGAGGCTACAATGTTAGCCGAAACGTTTGTTTCTTTTTTAAAACCAAATAAAGTTAATATGAAACGAAATGAAAACTTAATCAGCGTTTTCCCGAATCTAAATCCCAAGAAAATTTTAGAATATTTATTACTTATATAAAATAATTAATACCATAATTATTGTTTCACGTTTATGATAGACTACGACCCCTAGGTCCAAGCAAGCTGTTGAATGAACATTCCCTTACGTGGAATGCTGCTGCAAATAAAATGTAATAAAGTGTGAGCTGAGTCTCGGACTATAATTGTTTTTCTCAATCGAGCTGCACATCCGACTCGAATTACGACTATCTCGTTTAATTCAACACGAAAAAGCTTTCACTTCATCCGGAGAAATCATTTAGATTAGTCCCTGAAACAACTAATTAAGTCGCGGCTAATTTACCTTGCATTTGTTTCAGTTTGCAGGTGCATGATTTAATTAGTTATTAGAAGGAACAGCAGTATACAAGGTGGCCCTTGTTTAGCTTGTATAATAATATAACACAAGATTATATATTTAAACCTTAAACTTTTTAGTAGAATTTTCTTACTTTACTTTTCTTCTTCATTTTTTAACGCATTTCTATTTTCTATGTTGTTCGTTTGGGATTTGAATTTTCTGTGAAATTTCACAAATTTTGATCTCTTTTGAGAATTACTAAGTCTTCTTCAATTTAAAAAAAATATATTTTATTGATATTACTGCCTCACTCAGGTACTTAAGGTTTTTACTATATTATTTTGCTGATTTCTATTACATGATTTATATTTTCTCTATTATACTTTTTATTATAAAATGTGTATTATGCCCAATTAAGTAGAAATTTAAATATATCGCTTTCCTTATGGAGATTGCTACTATTAATTATTTGAACTAACAATTAATTCTATTTTTTTCTACAGCGTGTTTCAAAAAACATGTGCCATCTCTCGTAGGGAGATTCCTCATGTAAAAATAAAATTTATTTTTCATATCAACATTGGTCCGATTCTGCTTTATTATGTAGCTACAGTGTGTTAAAGTCTTAATATTCTTTCGATTTATTATAGTTTTCTTCCAAGTACTTTTAGTGATTCGAATGAAATTTTGAGGGTAAAACTTTACGATAAGTGCTTCATATTTTAATGCTAAAAAAAGGAGATAAATTCACCAAGGACGTGCATATGGGTTATCACTGGAATATTTTTCAAAAAGAAACATGTGTGCCAATGACTTTTTTTCTTTTGATCAGAATTGAGTAGGCCGTTTAATGCCAGTTAAAAGCTATCTCGTGATATTTTGTCGAATTCGGCCTTCTTGATGAGATAAACGCTATTTTATTAATCGCATTTAATAAAATTAAAATAAAATTAATAAATCATATATTTTACATAATTTATTATTATATATTTTTACATAATTTATTATTAATATTATTATTTCTATTAGTTATTATTACTATTAGTCCAACCTAGAGCAATTTTAAATAAAAAATAATGGTATTTAAGATTTAAGATAGTTACGAAAAAACTAATTTAAAAAAATTTTAACATCCTGTAACTCTAAAACTATGCATTTCCATAGCAATGTTTATAGAAACTTTTTTCCATATTTCTTGATAAGAACTTTCGCAAGTTAATGATATTTTTTTTTAAAGTGTTGCTATTAGACTTGGATCAAGGCAAATTATCTCATCAAGGAGGCCGAAATGGACAAAATATGAAGAAACAACTTTTAATCGGCATTAAACTGCTTAGACTATTTCGCTAACTAGAAAAAAAAGTCAGTGGCGTACATGTTTTTTTATATGATATCTTATTCCAATGATAACCCATATACAAGTCCCTGGTGAATATGTCGACACTTTTTTAGCATTAAAATATGTCGCATTTATAATAACTTTTACCCTCAAGATTTCATTCGAAACGCTAAAAGTATTTAGAAGAAAATTACAATAAATCGAAAAAATATTAATATTTGAACACCCTGTCGCTACGAAACAAAGTAGAATCGGACCTATGTTGATATGAAAAATAAGTCTTATTTTTACGTGAGGAATCTCCCCACGAGAGATGGCAGATGTTTTTTGAAACACTCCGTATAATTAAATACAATTATTATACATTATAACAGTTTATAAATCTAACCAGCTTTTTACGCCATATTTTCCTTAAGACTATGTTAAGTTAAAATATGAAATAAAGACCTGTTTATTATTTTTATAAATATATCTGACTTGTGGGATGCGGGGTCTCAATGTTTTAGATATTAGTAAAGAAAGAAAGAATTAATAGATGTTGTTTTACTTCATTCAGTTAAAAAAAAATTATTCATGGACCGAGTCTATAATTGTCAGCATATACAGGGTGACTCAGGCTTCCGAAAAAGCTGTATTTTAGGCGAGATATTAGGTTTTTGGTTTGTAAATGTCATTTCAGTTTGTTTGTATGGTGGCAATGGTAACGCACATTTTGAAAATATTTTTGTCAACATACATGGTGATTCAAACATATTTTCAAACCCAAGTTGTATATTTTTAAATAGAATACTCTCGGGAACATAATATATTTTTTTAACTTAGTGGAATTTTGCCACTAAATTTCTGTTCCAAAAATACCATACTTAATGTCATGTACTATACCGAGTGGTTTTCGAAATATAAAGGTTTTTAAACTAAATTTACCGCTTATTTAAAGCCCTCTTAAAATTCTAAATTCGAATAATTTTATTTTTTTTAACAGGAAGTACTGTATAATAGTGTCTTCTTCAAAATTCGGTTTACCAAAATTTGCAATCTTGTTTGATATATACAGGGCGAGTCAAAACTAAATGCTGTATATTTCTGCACTATTTTAAATGGGACATCGTTTATTTTGTATCATAATCAAACAACGTTTTATTTATCCTTTTTGATTTATGAAGCATTTTCTATATATAAAATCGATATTTAGTGAGAAATTTGTGTTTTTTTTAATATAGGAGAAGATTTGATTTCGTTCTTTCAATAGTAGGCGTTTATCATTAATAGGTTTTTGGTTTGTGAAATGAAATTCATAAATATTATTTTTATTATTAACGTACTGTACACAAAATCCGTAAATTTACGGATTAATCAGTAGGTCTGGCAACACTGTCTCCATCAAACACTTAAGCTGGATTTATAAACTCGGGAGGTAAGGTTCAGTTGCCGTTCAAAATGTTCAACACTATGAAATGAACGCGCGCATTTATAAAGTCAGTTGGTCGAGAAGTTGGCAGTTCGTTTTACGTTCAGCGGAGTTCAAAGATGGTCAATGTTTATGTCGGCAGTTGCGGGCAGTTGGCGACCGCTGGCGACGTTCGGCGACAGCCAATGAATAAGCGCCTGTCGATCACGTGAAGCACAGTACGCCGATGCATTGGAAAATGACCCTTATTGTTGTTTCATTATTTCTGTTAATGTAATGTTTATATTTTGCGTAATCGTGGATTACTGTGTTTGAACTTTGACAAATACCAAAAGTATTTTTAAATCGAAAGAAAAACGTTCAAAATTTTCACAAATCCAAACCTAACCTACAACCGAAACTGACAGTTTATAAATGCAAAAATATTGAACCTCAACTGCCGCGAACATCCAACTGCAACTGAACCTCAACTGAACGCCAACTTCCGAGTTTATAAATCCAGCTTTACTCTGTCAACTGTACTTCTCGGCCAGACTGACGGACGGTAGAATTAGAATTAGAACGGACGGTAACGCCAGCTACATCTCGGACAGGTTTTGTGCCACGAAATCGCCCATAAAGTTACGTATCTTCTTATTTCTTCAATCACCGGTTTAACTTACGGACCAAATCAAATATTAAATTATTTATCGCCTCTAGCAACAGATTATTAAGAGACATTAAATTAACAACAAAGACATTATTAATTTAATGACTTATTTATGTTTTATTACTAATCCATTCATAAATACACGGGTATGTACATTTCTATCTAGCACGTTCGTATAATGCAAATAATATGCAGTTCCAGTATGATATAAATTTAATCGTTGTCGATTGATCTATTTTTAAAACAAGAATATATTATTGGATATTGAATTTCTATTATTAACATGAAAAAAATATCTATAATATTTATTATCACATGACGTTTTCATTAAAGGCTTTCCAGGTAGAATTTTCTGATATTGCGATACTTGTGAAATTAAATTTCTCCTTGGAATAACATTGGGTCTAATGAATAAAACGTAGCTTTTACTTCAAATTAATCAAGCAAAACCTTCGAAGTATATGATAAATCAATTTGGAGCATTTGCTCTACAACTGTAAGGAAAAGCATATGCTACACTATAAGCAAATACTTCAAGTAATATGAATAAAGTCATGCTTTTGCTAGATCTATAGCAAAAGCTTCATTTTTCTGAAGGTACCTCCAGTGCAGACTTCACGTCCGTAGTAGTGATACGTGTGTGGTAATTATGGCGTTTTTAAATAATTTAAGAGCCGTAAAACGTTACAAAAGATGTGTAGAGACATCACCGGCTGCTTTTAGACACCTTTTTCGTTTCAACGATGTTAATGTGCAGTGTTTCCATTGTGCAGTGCTAACCATTTCCTTGGTGAGAAGAATAATGAGCCACGAGGTGGGGCATTATCACCGTTCCAGGAAATGAAAGTGTTTTTGCGATACATTGCTGATCCGGGTTACCAAAACGGCGTAGGGGAAATCATTGGAATTCACTAAAGCACTGTGTCAAAAACAATTGCCAAAGTAATGAACACAATATTGCAAAAAGCAAATCTGTGGATAAAATTTCCATCTTCCATTGAGGAAATACGTGAAGCCCAACGTCTGGGGCAGCAAGTTTATTCGTTTCCATCTGCAATTGGTGATATGGATTGCACACATGTTCGAATTCCAAAGCCTTCTGAATTTGGAGATGAATATATAAATCGAAAAGGTTTTGCTAGCATCGATGTACAAGCAACTTGCGATGCACAGGATAAATTTACAAGTGTAGATGTACAATGGCCTGGTTCTACCCATGAAAGTAGAATCTGGAAAAGGTCTAACATTTGTGCCGTTCTACGTTGCAATACACAAAGAGCGTTGCTCCTGGCAGACGAAGGGTATGGGATAGAGCCCTGTTTAATGACTCCATATCAAAACCCAAATACACCAGAAGAAACACGATACAATAATTTGTTGAAGAAGGAAAGGGTGTGTATTGAACGTTGCTTTGGGCAGTTGAAGCAAAGATTTTCCATATTGCAATATAAAGCTCGATTGAAGCTTGAAAATATCCCTAAACTAATTGTGTGCTGCGTTGTTCTACACAACATTGCAAAAACACTATGCGATCCAGACTTTGACTTAGAAGAACTGCAGCCTAACGACGTAAATAATTATATTGAAGGAAATGAGAACGACGACATTAGGAGAAGTGGAATGCGAAGACGGGAGAAAGTTCTCTTATCCATCTTATTTTTCAACAAAATTTGTAAGGTAAGTTGAAAAATTTAATGGTACACAAATTGGAACTCAAAATTTATTGAACATATCAAAAATAAGTACATACTATAAAAAAAATCCGAGAAAAAATCTAAACATATTTTAAGGGAAGAATTTCATTTAAGAAAAATAATTTAAGATCTCCTCGTTTAACAAAAAAAAAACAACTACTTAAATGCGAAACCTCAACGTAAATATCGCTCTTTTCAAGTAGTACGTTGGGTTAGTTTTACAACTGTTTATACACTCTATCATTTTCTGTAACTATTGACTCTTCCTGTTGTAACTCTTTCATCAATTTTCTTTTTTTTAGCCCCAAAACTTCCAATTGTTCTAACAAAACTAATCTCTGTAATTCAGCCGTGGATAAATTTTGCGTTTCTGTGGTCTCTGGAAGATGATGTTTTTTAATTTTCTTTGACACCATGCTTTTTACAGGTTCTGGAACCAAAACGGATGGGTCAGACTCCGACCAGATGTCTACGGGAACAGCAGTCTGAGCAGTCTCTATTGGTGGCATAACGCCAACTTGCACAGCACCTGAAATTTAATTTCATGTAATGACCTGCTCTGTAAATAAATTTAAAAAATTATTCCAACTTGGTATTTTGCGTAAGGTCGGATTTCTATCACCATCCATTAACTTCCAAAATGCTTGTTCCTACGACTTCAACTTTATTGGTTTGTTGCCAGTTTTATTTAAATCTGTGTTTTGTTTGATTTTTGATTTCATGTTATTGATTTTTTTAGATAATTGCTTTACACTTATCACTTTTCCGCTCACCGCCTGCCATTCCATTTGTAACTTTATTAACGCATTCTCTTTCGCTTTTTTTGTAGTGGGTACTTGCGACTTTTCAAGTACTACTCTATAATTATGCAGTAACTCAACAAATTTCACCTTATCGTTCTCTTCACCGAACGTGCTTTCCTCGTTGTCGCTCATAGTGTTGCTTCTTCCGCACTAAATTGCTGCTTTCTATTTAACCAAACAATCAAAATATCATTATTTTTCCTGTCTGAACTTGTAAAAAAGTGTAGCAAATGGTCTAGATTCCGGAGCATTTACTACGGAGCAAAAGCATATGATTATTTATTATAAACGAAGCAAATGCTTTTTCTTCCACCTTTTGCTTCGAAGCATTTGCTTTTGCTTTTACTTTATATTTCGAGCAAATGCTACATTTTAATTCTTAAGACCCATTTGTCTTTAATACTGATGCTTTTTAAGGATGTTTTACAATTGTGGATATGGTTTTGAACTGACAGCGCCTTTAATCTCAATATGAAAGACATGGCCCGTATGAATAAAAAGAAAGCAAATGCTCATGAGTATGAGCAAACGCTCCAACAAGAGCTTCGAGTAACAGGTCGGAGTATAAGCATCTCTTCGAGTTGATATGAATAATGATTGGCTTGTACTCAAGAGTATTTGCTTCAATAAAATGAGCATTTGCGCCTGGTCATTCCTGTCGAAACTATTAAGTTGGCCAAAACACCTTTCATTTATACCTAACCCTTTCTTTCTTAAACAGTCTGTTGTAAGCTCTTTCCAATGCGTTATTAGGGTTTCTAAACGGAGTCATTAGCCACGGTTCTAAGCCATAACCATCATCACCCAGTAGTACTGCACCAGGAAAGTGTTGCATAGTTACACGTATATCGTAATTCCTCCAAATTCTTGCGTCGTGTACAGAACCCGGCCAACTAACATCAGCACTAGTAAACATTTCCACTGAGTTACGTGTTGCCTGCACATTTAAAGTCGCCAATCCCCTTCTGTTGATGTATTCATCATCGTGTTGATTCGGTTTCAAAATCTGAACGTGCGTGCAATGAATCACTCCAATAGCACTTGGAAACTGAAATTTTTCTTGCCACGCTTGCTGTGCTTCGTTTATTTTGGGTTGGGCTGACGGAAATTTGATCCATAAAGGGGACTTTTTCTTTTCTTTTGTTCATTAGAAATGAAATTGTTTTTGAAACAGTCGACTGAGTGATTCTCAATTCTTCTGCTACAGCTGCTACACCCATCTGAAATCCAGGATTGGCCATATACAGCAAGAAAACCTTCATTTTATGATTTGAAGAAAGAGCGGATCCTCTTCTTTCAAGATTTTCCCCCAAAAAGTACGTTGCCATCCAAATTACATTTTCTTCTTGAAATCTGTAAGGAGATTTAAAATCTCACCAATTAGCTTCCCTTCGCTCTTTGTATTGCTTCTGTGCACGTAAATTTACGAATTCTGCCATTTTATGACCAGCTTATTGCAAGGTGCATCTCCTACTAACGAGATGCAAAAATTTTAAAGCATATGCTCAACTAAGTAAGCAAAACATATATTTTATTCATAACAAGTTGAGCAAATACTTAAACGTGAGTAGATGCTCATGCTTCATCTAATACAAGTTTGAGCAAAACCTTTTACTTACATTTTTATTCATAAACTATATAGCATTTGCTTCAAGTTTTGCAAGTAGAAGGTTTTGCTCATTTTTATTCATATGGGCCAATGTCAGTCGAAGAACATATTTTACTTCATAAATTCATCACTGTCTATCAGTTTCATATAAACTTATTCCAGAGTTAAGGTTCACATTGTGAGTTCTTATTTTCCTTCTAGATTTTTAAGCATTAAAATTATAAATATTTTCATCACTAGAGTTAACATCAGTGTTTAAAATATAAACGAAATTTCGATTTTTTTAATTTAGATGAATAACAATGTCCCATTGTTTTTACTTTCCCAAGTTTAAATTTAAATTAACCTTTGTTTTGGCGAACAGAAAACGGTATAACGAAACAAGAATAAAAAAAATCAGTAGAATGCCAGTAGGTACACGAATATAATAAATTTCGTGTAAAAAGTAAAAGTAGAAGATAATTCCAGAGTACCGATTTTGCACTAAAAATTAAATAGAAAACATTTCCGATCAACTGTGTGAAACAATCGAATTAACTATTAAAAATTTTGGTAAACGATGAATTATATTAAAACTTACAGAGAGATATAATGGCAAAAACTTATTGATTATTCCTCGGGTTATTCTAAATTTTCTAAATCTGTTTCGAATATATATATATTATACGAAAGTAATTTTAAATATTTAGAGCAACAACACTAAAAATATTTAAAATATTTGTGTATAGTTTAATGAATAGTCAGTGAAGTTTAGACAATAACACAATATATTAATTTTTGTGGTTTAAAAATGACATACCATATACTATTTCGATACTTTCTATTGGCCAACACAATCCCAATAATTATTAAGAATTTTGAAAGAAGGTGCTTTAATAGAATAAATTTATTAATGAAAAGTACTATTTACTTATAAAATGCACAAAAACAATTTATATTATTTAAGTATAGAATTAGCTAAAGTGATAACAAATAGGTTTATAAGCTTTGGCAGAGAGTAAGACAAGCAACCAAAACTACAACACAATATGAGCATGGCCAACTCAAATAATCAATCCTCAAGCTACTAATATCCACTAACACGTACTAACAGCTACTAAAACCCAAAGCCGACGACCAAGAACTATAGTTTTATCTTATGTAATGCCAATTTCGTATCACTGATGACCCTATCATCAACTCTACTATATTGTTGAAAGTCTAAATTGCAAAACGCTTACGGATATCTCCGACCTTCAAATTTCACTCCACCGGCAAAAAACAAATATTCTGCAGTTTAAAATCGTTTAGTTAGCAGGTTTGCAGACAATGGCACGATAAGAATTTAAAAACTGACTGAAGGAGACTAAAAATCTTCCAACAACCCCTATACAAAAAGAGGTCCTCGATAACCACAAATTATAAGTCTCACTGTTATTGAAATCCTCTAATTACAGCAGCCACCATCGACAATAAATGTAAGTGGTGAAGGTTTAACAAAATTAGCTGACATAGCTGATAAAATAAAGAAAACATGAAACAGGCCACTGGCCAGCAAACCTCTGTGAATGGTGATTTTTTAGCAAATTAATCAGCTGAAGCAACAAGTTGTAGAAGAATGTAGAATGAGTAGGAGGAGAGTTAATCACTGGCGAACTTACAGATCTGGATGGAGAATGTCTTAACCATCTAAGATTCGTTGATGACATAATCCTAATTGCCAATAGTCCTGAAGGAGAACTACAAGCACAAATTAATGAACTAAACACAGCCAGCACCAAAGTTGGTCTCAAAATGGATTTAGCAAAAACTAAAGTGATGTACAACGAACTAGTTGAAAGAAAACATAGTCTAATAAATAACACAACACTGGAAATAGTAGAAGAATAAAAATATCTGGGACATCTAATACACAGCTCGGGATCTCTACTACCAGAAATCAACAGAAGAATTAAGTTAGCATGGAGTACTTATTGAAGAAACTCAACCATATTCAAATCTAAAATGAGAAGAAGAAAACATTCGACCAATAATGCATTCCAAAATATACTCCTAATCATGATCCATGCATGCGAAACGTGGACACTTAAACGAACATCATAAAGAAATTGCAGGTCGCACAACGTTCAATGGAACGGAATATGCTGGGAATAAAAAAGAGAGACCGTAAAAGAATAAAGTGGATACGACAAAAGACCCAGGTTATAGATCAACAGAATCAAATCCCTCAAATGGCAATGGGCAGGACAACTGGCAAGAAGAACATACAACAGATAGACCACAAAAATTACAGCATGGTACCCACGCGGAATTAAGAGACCTAGAGGAAGACCGAATCTGAGATAGGACCATGATATTACTTGGGCGCGCATAGCCAATAATAAACAATAATGGGCCCAACTACAAAGAGAGTATATTAAGGAGGCTACACCGTAATTGGAAATGGTTTAAAAAGCTGAAAATGATGATAATGATGAATATCAAATAATAATAGGTACACTATCAAATAATTATTTAACTTCCTCGTATTTTATCCTTCTTGGTGGAGTCTTAAATAAGTGCAAATATTTTCAGGGCTGATAGATTTCGATAAAAGAAACATATTTTCTTTTTACCATTTTTCAGATAAGTCCAAAATAACCGAGTTATTTAAGTTTGAAAATTAAAAAAAAAAATGATTTTTTTTGGAGCAACTTTGAAAGCCACCGTTTTTTTTCTGTATTTGCATCCCTTTTAGCACCGTAACCATAGAGTCAAGCCGTAACTTTGGTAATATCTGAGATTAAGGAATAATACCGTGGCAAAATTTGCGGTGAACAGGCAGTTTCAAAATTTTTCGAAAAATATACAGAAAATTTAAAAGAAAATGCACGATTTTCAACATCTTTTTTTAGCGAAAAAAACCTCATAGACGTGTTCCTAGGGTCGAAATATACCACCCCTGAAAATATTTGCACGTATTTAAGACTCACCCTGTATATTTCTATTTTTATGCAGTTATTGATCTGAAATAGAGATCAGGAAGTTGTCATACATAGTTGTCCCTCTCACTCTAAACATATTTTATTAGAATACAGAGTTAATATAAGGTGCTCTAACGCCCACTTGCACCGTTTGTATAAACTTTGTTTAAAGGCTAAACAGTGATTAACTATAATATTTTTTGCTCCATTTCACAAACATTGTTTATACTTATTTAATCAATGTTTAAACTAAACGGTCATATTTGGGCGTTTAAGTTTTAAACGTAGATTATCTAACTTCATTATTCTGTGTTTTGTTGTCAGATTCTTTGGCGCTTGTGCTTTTAGTATATTTTTATACTTAGTTTTTGTTTAAAAAAAATATATATAACATGGATTTTGATGAAAATTACATTTTGGAAGATGATTTGGATAACTCAAAATTATCGATTATGGATTTCCTCGACAAATTTATGTGAAGACTATAACTATTTTGACGAAATAAACGAATCTAAATTTTAGCACTTTTTTCACGGACACACGGACAGTTTTCTCATTTTCCTAATATATCCTTATATCTGTCACATACGAGGTCACATATATTTGCAATTAGAGTTTTTTCGCTTGGGTTCTAATATAACGGTTTCTTTTCTTTTTAATTTCATCGCAGTCCATGTCCCAAACTTATTGTTAATTTAAAAAAATACAAAGAGTGCTACAAAATTATTTTCCCTTTAAAAACGTAAAAAAACGACAAAACGTTAAAAACATAAAAACGACAAAAAAATACAAAATAAACAATGTTTGAAACCACGGAAAAGGTAGAAATACAAATATGAAGTTCTCTACCTTAGCAAAGAGTTACGTTGTTTTCAAAAATATTCGCTGATTAACTAAACAAACTTTCATTGTACATGGTGCAAATATAACAAAAATAATCAGTGATTACTTACAAGCTCTTTAAATGCAAATTGGGTGCAAACGGCAATAAGTTATCTAAGTATCAACCAGGCCGTTTTTAGTTTTTATTTACAAACAATCTAAGAGGGAAATTTGGCGACCGATGTGAGAAACCTACCTCACGACGTGACTACGCGCGACGCCGACGTGACGGAATATTTGCGGAAATTGGAAAACATTTTATTTCAAAATAAGCTGTGTAAAAAAATAAAACACTGCAAGCGGAGTAATAATGTTTGATAATTTCTGTATATGATGATTCAAAAATAATCCAACCAAAGATGAAACTTGATTTATATTGAGTTGATATTTACCGATATTTGTTTTCTTTTAGTTTATTAGACATTTTAACAGCGTGGAGCCCTGTACTAGCAAATAACTTTATAGGGAAATGCCAAATTGAATATTTTATACGTAAACAAGCTGATTTTTTTACGCTTTTTTAATTGCATCCTGTATATTTCAAAGTTTTTTTCAGAGACATGCCTAATGTATAAATGTACTTGCAGATTGTAAGTTTTCATAAAAAACAATTGTTCCGAAAAATAAAAATCATTAATTTTTATACAAAAATACTTAATTTTTTAATTTGGTGCTTACCCTAATATCTTTTAAGGCACTATCCATACAGAGGTTCACTTGAAGCATCAACGAGCCCGTTTTTATTTACAAACAACGTAACAGAGCAATTCGGTGCCCGATGTGGAAGACGTCGACCTCACGACGACGCGACGGAATGTCAGCAGGAATTAGACAACATTCCTGCCGCACGCTCTTCGGATCGACAGAAATTGACCGCGATAACAACAACGGATAATAAAGGCTCACTCGAAAACGGCGCACCAAGACTAGACTGGCATTCTAGCAGTGCAAACCGCGACCCGACACGGCACTAGGCACTGCGATATGTTGCGTTTCGCTGTGGGCGCAGGAGTGGAGTATTGGCGTGCAGGAAACGACGAGGTCGGAGACTAGAGTATGCAGGTGCGGCAATAAATGGCTAAATAAATAACTTTTTGTGAATGCGTTTCGAAATTGACAGTTTTTGATATTTATTTGAGATTCGAAGTGACCTTCTTTTAGGCTCTAGTATCTAAAAGTGACACTTGTTTGTTAAAAATTAAAAAATGAAACGTTAGAAACAATGAAAATATTTATTTATTATAAATCTTAAAGGTACAATTATTTTAATTACTAAAGTGAATACAAGAGGCATCAAACTTTCGCCCAGAAATGCAAGTTGTAGGAGTCGGAATAAGTAAATTTCGTTTACTGGCAATGCTGGTAGCTTCTGCTTCTACGTGAACTGCTTTTAATTTCTTATTTGGCGTATCTTTCTATCCCATGATTTTTTGCTATTTCGGTTTTCTGTTCAATTGAATTTTCAATGTTGCGCAGTTTCAGCAGCTTGTTGAATATCCAGACTCGTCATTATCACTCATTTTTTCACAAAACTTTGTAGGAAATACGGCGATGTTTGAACCTGACAGAACTTTGTCAATAAACAATGCCTTAGAAACCGATTACTAGAACATTTTAAAAAATGTTTAAAAATAAATAATAATAATAGCATGAAAATCTCAAATTATCCGCTTTCACAAAAAATCTTGTATGAAATTCGTTGCGAAAAGAGTGTTTTAACCAGGGTTGCCAGACGTCCCTATTTAGGCGGGACTGTCCCGATTTTAATCGATGTGTCCCGATATGTCCCGCGGCCCGAGACTGTCCCGATTTGTCCCGCATCTCGTTCTCTGCCTTCAAATTCCCAAAATCTTCCTTCGCCACTATTATAGTGGAGACAGGCGACAATGGCATCATGCGTAAACTCTGTTATCGCCTCGTGTCCGCCTCACCGTTTCAAGTACCGACGGTTTAAATACATGACATATCGATGCATCATTGCCATTCCTACTAATTCTTCTTTCTCTCTTCTTTTTCTTTCACGGGATTTAGTCGCTTGTCGCTTACGTTTTGTCGCAAGGTCTTTTGTCTTTTAATTTTAAAAGACCTTGTTGTAGTGTACTTCTGTTCACTTGTCTCTAGCCCTAGCAGGCAACTGTTAAGCCCGACCAATCACGTTAGAGTTTTTGACAAACACGAATGAATTAACACACTCCAAATAACCACGCTAACCAACCTGATTGGTCAAGCTTAATAGTTGACTGCTAGGACTAGACACTTCTCTTCTGTTCTGTGGTGTACTTTGGTGTTTGGTGTACTTCACAGAGGGTAGAAGGTGTACTTGCTCCTTGCCGAGATCAAACGCTTGCGTATTTATTTCAACAATTTAGGAAACAGGTACGATATATTATGAGTTAATTATATAGTTAAATTAAAAAATATATTTTTTTACTGGATGGAGACTTAAAAAATTAATATTTTTTGTATTTAGGATATTTCAAAATTTTTAACGGTTTCGCAGATACACGCAGTATTATTTCATATGGCGCTTTCAATGGTAATATACGAGAGAAAAATCATTGGGTGGCTTTGATAAAAATTTACTGTGGAAAATGCCATATGAAATATAAAACCGCAAATATTTGCGAAACCGTTAAAAATTTTGAAATACTCTAAATACAAAAAATGTTAATTTTTTAATTCTTCGTCTATTGAAAAATTAATATACAGGCTGTTCCATTTAAAAAAACGAAGAAAAATTATTTTATATTTTAGAAAGTTTGGCGCAGAATTTTGAACATCCTGTATGATTTACGCTTTTCATATTTGTAGCAAAGTAAGTACAGACCATCTAAAGTAAATACCTAATATAGTTTTGATTTCAGAACAGTTCTTGTATTTTTAATATTTTTTTTAAGAAGGGCTGAAAAATATATATTATTGATTTATTTTTTAATATCTCTGAAACTATCGAAATATATTTATTCATATCTTAGGGTTATGTTGGACAATTTTGTGTCCCGTCCTTAAAACACATTCGCAACGTTTACATAAATAGCTATTACCTGTGAGCAAAGGCGATTCTAAAAAAACAATTCTGCGGGGGGTAATTTTAAATTAAAAAAATGTGTGTGCACTATGTGCGCATATTTGAAGTGAAACTACTTACTAACTTCTTACTAACAACTATTAAATTAAAGAATTTAAATGACATGTTTCAAAAGGTGTAGTTTGAAATGTTAAAAAAGTAATAAATTAAAAAATATATTTTTTACCCCTAAAAATAGTTTTTACGTGTAACAAATAGTTATTTACCGTAACAAATATTTGCTTTTCTTAAACCTGCTGGCCTTAAATCTGAAACAGAGATTCTTACTGGCATGTCATGTTGGTGTAATAGATGCTTTTGTGTACCGCAGTCAGTCTATTGACTTGAAATATTGGTGGTATAATAGAATAAACATCCATTTGATTGTCGAGGTGTGCAGGCTATATCCTGAATTACAATTTTTAAGATTGTCGGCGTTTTAGGAGGGATGAGAGCTCTTAACCGACTTTCGGAAAATTCTATTGTACCGAGGTTCATCCAGGCAACTTGCGATGTATATGCAGAAAGCGGTGGTTATTGGGATCCTTCGATTGTTCAGGCAAATGAGTTATTACTCTTTGATCTCAGTCTCGTTCTCGGAATAATGAGACCGAGACTGCTCACGATCGTCAAATTAGCTTATTTTTTAGCGTATCGCTCCATCTATCGCTGCGTGGATGAATGAATACAGTCTGAAGTCAAAAAAAAAGAATGAATCATATTTGATCCATATATGATCTGATCGAATCACGAAGAGGATTTCTCGGACGGCTGAAGAATCGCCTTCGTATTTATATGCGTAAACACAGAACGAAATGTTAGATAATAGTGTCTTATTAATGTAAGTCTTATAAATTTAACAGAATTGTGCTTTTATCTGAATTACTCGTATATCCTACGAATAAGTAAAATTTTTAGCAGCTTATACATTTTTAGTCTGCACCACCAATAATCATTTCTAGCAAACAACATTTAGAAAGAACATGATGAATCACGGGGTTTCTAACAGGACACTGTCTCCGCAACGAACACCTCAGTAGGCTGAAGCTGAGAAACAACGGCGAATGCAGATTCTGTGGGGAAATTGGGGAAACACCAAAACACCTTATCACTGTGCCAAGACGACGATCGTCCGTGCCGTGAACTTTGATACGGCTGATGTCGAGGATGGAGAGCTGGCCTCTTTGGAGCCGTCTGAGATACTGGCTTTTGTTAAAGGAAGTGGAACACACAATAGATCTGTAAGGTGGTGATTAATCCTGCTCCTAAACATTCTACATTCTACAAGAGAAAGGATTAAAAAAACTACAGACCGAATACTCGAATACACATGATTAGTAAGCCACTAAGTGCTATACAACACAGCTATTGGCATAGTAGGAAAAACATTTGACATTGATATGTGTAACTTAAGTCACTACTTGTATTTATTGAATAAAGAAATATAAACTTTTTTTTTATTTTTATATAGCTTTTCTCCTGGAACGAAAAAAGTCTTCGAATTTTGTAGAAATTTCCACTTTATTGATATATAAAGTGGAAATTTAAATAACAAAATCGTAATTTGTAATAAATTTGTTTCCTGGTGTATTATTTTCATTACATTTCTTTTGGCTATATTATTTACAGAATTTAAACAGTTCCCTCTACATGCTGAACTCGTTAGCATAACTTTTCTCATGGAAGGAATTCCGAGACCTGCTGTCTACGTCATCGGGGATGGTGAAACCAGAGGCGTAGAATTTGGAACTAAAAATTTCACTATATCTTATCTTAAAAACAAAATACTTTCATTGGAAGTGAAGAGTATTATTATGATTTCAATAAAATGTCTTATATTTGGTATAAAATTAGGATTATACTTGTGACAACAGTGGTGAAGAATATATTAAACTACATAATTTAATTTATTACCTAGTATCAGTTGAGGAACTCCACTGCTCAGTAGTAGCTTGTTTGGTATCGCATCGCAGCATGGTACGGAGTCTTTCTCCACAATGAACCAAGTGTTTAATTATTTTACATAATAATTGTTGTTATGAAGCGGGCGTCAACAAAATTGTTATCACAATTTGGCAATGTTTAACAGTAATACAATAATAACAATCATACACTAATGTATACCGATTTTATATAGAGACGAGCATTGAATAAACGTTATTAATCCAAAATGTCCTATGGTTTATTAAATCTAAATATACAGTATGTCTCCGGATTGTCTTTACAAGAGGAAAAACTTTTTTATTATTGGGATTTTGAGAAAAATGCATTCTTAATAAAAAAATTCTGCTTGTTCTAAAATGGTTAATCACTTTTCCAAATTTCTATACCGTTTTAGAGAAAAGAGAAAATTAATAAGAACATGAAAATATCGTTGAATTTTTCCCTAAAAAAGAAGTCCTAAAAATCAAAAGGTCTTTCTATGGTAATTTAATTTTGATTTCTTTCTTTGATATATTGTTATTGATAGAATTTTAATTAATGTCATATAATTTGCTGTTTTAAAGTGTTAAAGAAGCACAGAATTTATTTAGCTCAAGGCTACGGAAAGGGTGATAATAGTTTTCGGAAAACGTGATATTTTAACAACAATAAAAAATATAACGCTCATCAAAATTAATAATAATCATCTATCAATCAAACAAGATAAAGGAAACAAGTTTGAGATTGGAATGCTCGGCTTACCGCCAAAACTTATATGTATATATATATATATATATATATATATATATATATATATATATATATATATATATATATATATATAGGGTATCTCAGAAATAAGTGCAAATATTTTAAAGGGTGGTAGATCTCGATAAAAGAAACATATTTTCTCTTTATCGTTTTTCAAATAAGTCCAAAATAACGGAGTTATTTTACTTTGACAATTTCCGAAAAAAAATATTTTTTGCTAAAATTTTGAGAACCACTGACTGGATCTTTTCTGGATTTTCTTTCTTGTAAATTTAATCTAATACCTACGTTGCCATATTATCAAGAAATTATGTTTTTTAACTAAAAACTAAAAAAAATTCCACAAGATTTCGAATTTTCAATTTTTTTTTTCGCGGAAAAACCTCATAGGCGTGTTTCTGGGGTTGAACTATACTACCAGTTAAAATATTTGGACTTATTTCTGGGATACCCTGTATATAATTATATAATTGTTTTGGAGCGCATACGTTCTAGGGCGCTGCTATAGCGGTTGCTAAACCAGAAATAATTTTGTCTTGTCAAAGTCAGAATCTTCAAAAATTATAAAATCTTTCAAAATTTAAACCGTCCTCGTTGAAAAAATACCGAAAAGTGTTTAAAGCGTCCATTTTCAAAGTAATTATTGCTATCTTGTGAGTTTAATTTAAACTTTATTTACTCAAACCAGTGATAAGAAAATATTCGACCAACGTGTATTACCAGTCAAGATTTATGCAAGCGAAACCTGGAGGTTAACTTCGTTTTAGGTGTAAAACGGACATTATAAGGAAACTGCAGGTCGCACAATGCTCAATTGCACGAAATATGCTGGGAATAACTAAAAGAAGACCATATAGTATAATAGAGTAGATATACTATAGAAATGTTAGAATGGATACGACAAAATATCCAGGTATAGATACCATCCACAAAATCAAATCCCTCAAGTGACAGCAGTTACCTGACAAGATGGACAACAAATGGACCTCAAAATACATCATGGTACACACGAGGAATTAAGAGACCTAGAAGAAGATCAAACCTGAGATGGAACTATGATATTAGGAAATTAAGTGGGATAACTTGGACCCGCATATCCAACCATAGACAAAAATGGGCCCAAGTACAAAGAGGGTATCTAGCTATGCGAAGGAGGCTCCACCATAATTGCAAATTGTTGAATAAGCTGAAAATGATGATGATGTCAAAAAGTATTTTGTTATAGTACGTATAGTCTTTTGTTATACGCATTTATTGTATGTATACATTGCTTGCCTTTAACTGTCTAATTATAATAATAATAATTATAATAATAATAATTATAATAATAATAATATTAATATAATAACCCGCGTGGTTTTGCTAGTTCCATACCGGGCGCCTCCCCAGGTAGCGGATAGAGGCAAGCCTCCCAGATATGGGTGGTACCGGAGAAATGAAATATCCGGGGCGGACGAAAAACTAGCACAGGGTACGACGGTTCTCCATGTAGGAGCGGTGCCCGACCAGCGTCTGTTTCCCATGTTAGGGACGGCTGTATTTAATTTTGCCTGGCAGTAGGCATAAAATGCACACCATTTTTAATAAAATGAGCAAAAGAAATTATGGATTAATGCGATCGCCGGAGGACGGCCCTGGGGCTGTTGGAGCTGGTCCTGACCCCCAGGAAGGAGCGAGCGGCCAGTGGCGAGGAAAACAACGGAGCTCAGGACCTCGCCGGGTTCAACCCGAAACTGTTACTGCTCCCAATTTGATCATTTTAGACTCGTCTGACTCAGAAAACTCAGCTCAAGGTCGCCACGCAGAGGAAACTCACAGTGGTCCTGCTGATAATGAACAACAGAATGAAATCGCAGAAGCAGAAGCAAGCCAGAAATCGAAAAATAAAAGAATCTTCTGGACAAAAGACGAGATGAAAGAGGTTATATGGTGCTTTATGTGGAAAAAACTAACATCTGTTGACAATTACAGAGAGGTATATGAATATTGGCGCCAACGAAACCCAAACGCACGACCTAGCATGGATGCTAAAAAGTTGTTAAATCAAAAAAACTTTATAATAAAGAGCAAAAAAATCACCCAGCTGGAAATAGATAATATAAAAGAACAAATTGAGAAACTAATGCAAGATAATCGGGAATGCATATCTAGAGACCAACCAATAGGAAACGAAAATCCTAACATAACTGCACCAGTAGTGGAAATAGCTCAAGAAGGGTCGATTGAAATAATAGGGGATGAAGTGCAACTACAGAATACAAATGCAGATAGAGAAACGAAAGAGCTTGAAACTAAAATTAGAGATGAATTTTATTTGTTACAATCTAGAAGTCTTGAGAGCCGTAAAAGAATACTAAAAATCAACAATATATTCGGCTAATATACAATCCGCAAACAAAGCCTTAGAGAATATACTAGTGGAAAATAATAATCTAGACTTATTCCAAATAAACGCACTTATTTATGCCTGTGCTTATGTTGTATCCACTGACAATAAGCAAGCAGAACGTCACTACACATTAACATCGACAAAAAGTAAAGGCACAAGAAAACCACCACCGTGGAAATTGCGAATACAAAAGAAAATAGAGAAATATAGAAAACTTTTATCTCAACTGGCAAGTATACAATGGCATAATATTAGTGTAAAACAGCGTCACCTACTGGATTCTCAATCTATATTTTCCAATAATACACTAGCTGTCACAAAGGAAAACCTAAAACAGAAAATATCAGCATTAGCATACAGGATAAAAAGGTACGAAAAAAGAAACAAAGCAATTTAAACAAAGATAATATGATTCGATCGAGATAAAAGGAAGCTGTTTTAGAGGAACTGACACTTAAAACTGCAATAATGATGGTATTTGTAAATTTCCTGAAAAAAATGATGTGGAACGATTTTGGAGAGGAATCTTGGAGTCGGATGCAACCTACAATGAGAAAGCAAGATGGATAAAAAGAAATAGAGAAACTCCACAACACCGATGGAATGGAATCCCATAACAAAAGAAGAGGTTGTAGCTCGTTTGAAGAAGGCTAATAACTGGAAGGCATCGGGTCCGGATGGTATTCCGAACTTCTGGTTAAAACGCTTACCAGCAGCTCACGAATGTTTAGCCAGAAATTACAACTATATACTAAATAATCCAGAAAACATTCCCCAGTGGTTAACTGTCGGGCGAACAACATTAATATTCAAAAGCGGTGACGCAGAAAATCCAAGAAACTACCGACCGATAACCTGTTTAAACACCATATATAAAATTCTTACTGGAATTATAGCTGATAGATTATATAAACATTTAGAAATACAGGAAATATTACCATATGAACAGAAAGGATGCAGGAGAAATGCTCAGGGGTGCAGAGACCAGGTATTACTATCTAACATAATTGCTGAAGATTGTAAGCGACGGAAGAAAAATCTAAGTATAGCGTGGGTTGACTATAAAAAAGCTTACGATTCGATCCCTCACAGCTGGATAGGGAAATCGTTGCAACTGGCTGGGGCTAATGATGTTATTATTCAATTTTGGCCCAAGGTACCATGAAAAACTGGACAACAAAGATCTCTTTAAAAACAAACGCGGGCTATATTGAAACAGAAAATAAACATCAATAGGAATACCATCAGGCGACTCACTGTCTCCCCTGCTTTTCTGTATTGCAATGATCCCGTTATCTAAAGAACTAGAGAGCACGGGTATAGGATATAATATAACAGGACAAAATAAACGGATCCATCATCTTTTATATATGGATGACCTCAAACTTTTTGCTAAGGATGATAAAGGTCTAGATAGGTTGCTCCAAATAACAAAATCATTTAGCAGTGATATATGCATGGAATTTGGGTTAAATAAATGCGCAAAAGTAAGATTCCATCGTGGAAAATTAGCCACTTCAGAAAATATGAACAGCGAGACATTTCAACGCGTTAAATCTTTAGACGCGTCAGAAACATACAAATATCTAGGTTTTGAGGAATGCCTTGGTACAAACAACAGAACCGTAAAAGAACGACTTGAAAAAGTATATATTAAGCGCTTAAGATCGGCCCTAGACAACGAGTTATGTGCAAAATTTAAAATCGAGACTATCAACACAATTGCAGTCCCAGTTCTAAGATATAGTTTTGGAATAGTAAACTGGAGCAAGTATGAAATGCAGGCACTTGATCGGAAAACAAGAAAACTGCTAAGAAAGTTTAACCTACATCATCCTGCAGCTGATATCGATAGGCTATACGTATCAAGGTTAGAAGGAGGGAGAGGACTAATTCAACTAGAATCACTACTAAAGAGCAGCGTAATTGCGACAGCAAATTATTTAAAATCAGATTCTGGAGACCCGCTAAAACAGATGCTAGCTGATTGGGATAGAAATCAAGCGCCGAGTTTGTCTTTGCAGCGGAAAGCTGAGCAATTCCAACAGGAATTATACAGAATATCAGAAGATGTAGAAAACACAACAGTCGGAAGATCCGACATAAGAGAAATTTTAAAAAAACCTAAGGTAAATCCTGGGAAAAGAAACCTTTGCATGGCCAACACAAGAGAGAAATAAAAAAACAGTCAGATAATATTGATGGCTGCAATAGCTGGAACTGGCTCTCAACTGGAATGCTTAAAGGTGAAACCGAGGCATTGATAGTTGCTGCACAAGACCAAGCAATAAGAACTAACTATATAAAAACAAAGATTGATAAAACGTCAACTAACCCAAAATGTCGTCTCTGTAGAGAACATAATGAAACGATAGAACACGTAATATCGGGATGCACGATTCTAGCAGGAAGAGAATATTTAAACCGTCATAACAAAGTAGCTTCCCAATTGCACTATAACATCTGTAAGTGGCTTAATATAACCATGTCGGCTGAACAATGGTATAAACACGACCCACCACCCGTATGTGACACTCCCGATGGAAAAACACGGGTACTTTGGGACTATTCAATTAACACAGACAGGACGATACCAAACAACAAACCAGACATCATAATAAGAATGCCAGATATAACTTACCTCATTGATATTGCAGTTCCGGCTGATGGAAATGTATGCAGAAAAGAAGCGGAAAAAGTTGTGAAATATCGAGACCTAGAAATAGAAATTAAAAGAATGTGGAATACCCAGACAAAAATATTACCTGTTGTTATTGGTGCTACTGGTGTAGTGTCTAAGGCTCTCCCAAAATATTTAGATATCCTTCCAGGAGAACACAGCTTGGCAAATCTACAAAAAACAGCGATATTAGGCACTGCTCATATTATAAGAAAAACAATTGCAGATTAATTTAATTTATACTTACCTTTATGTGTATTTCTTTACCTCTGTATCAATATTTCACAAAATAAGTATTACTTGATCGACTACCTGCCTGGCCCTAGGAAAGCGGAGCTATCCCGGCCAGAACAGGATAACAGCCAGTTAAAACTGAGAAAGAAATAATAAATAAATAATAATAATAATTAAACATCCGCCTACCCAACAACAAATTGAAGAGTTTTGGCGAGGAATTCTAGAGAACGAGGTGATACATAATGAAAACGCATTATGGATAAGAGCAGAAAGAGAGAAATACCAACATATCAAGTCAGATTCTTGGCAGGACTTCACTACGGAAGAAATAGCAACAGTCATTAAAATTAAATAACTGGAAGCACCTGGACCGGACAAGGCTACAAAATGTTTGAAAACAAAGCAGTTTACCTCTCTGCATGCAGACCTAACAAATGCTATAAACGAAACTATCAAGAATCCTAATAATGCACCACAATGGCTTACCACCGGTAATACATTCTTACTCTCTAAAGGAAAAGACACCAAAGATCCGAAAAATTATCGGCCGATAACCTGCCTACCTACTATATTCAAAGTATTGACAGCAGCCATTACGAACCGCATATACTCCCATTTAATTGCACATAAAATTCTTCCAGATGAACAGAAAGGATGTCGAAGAGCTTCGAGAGGTTGCAAGGACCAATTGTTACTGAGTAAAATGGTGGTATCTACTGCGAAAAAACGAATGCGTGGACTGGGCCTGGCATGGATAGATTATAAGAAAGCATTCGACAGTGTACCACATTCTTGGATATCAACCATGATGCAGCTATGTGGCATTAATCCAACCATATCCCAATTCATTAATAAATCGATGCAAACTTGGAAAACCGAGATGCTATTATTCTATGAAGAAGGCCATATTCAAACAGAGGCCATTAAAATCAAAAGAGGGATATTTCAGGGAGACTCCCTCTCCCCACTGCTATTCTGCATGGCATTGATTCCGCTTACCAACATGTTGTGAGTCAAAATATAAGGTTTTAAGCTATACTAATAGTACCGAAATAAGTCACCTATTTTACATGGACGACCTGAAGTTGTTCACAAAAGATGAAAGCCAATTACGACTAGCCCTCTCAACAGTCAAGGAATTCAGTGATGACATCAGAATGGCGTTCGGACTTGATAAGTGTGCTACGGCAATATATAAAGGTGGCAAGCTAATTAAAATAGATAATGTAAAATTAGACGAAAAAACATCGATCAGAAATCTAGATATTGGTGAGTCTTACAAGTACCTAGGGGTTGAAGAAATGGACGGGATAGATAACAATAAAATGAAGACAAAAATCTCAAAAGAATACTACCGGCGAGTAAGGAAGATATTAGGTACAGAATTAAACGCAACAAATAAAATAAAAGCGATTAGCACATTAGCTGTTCAGCTCATGACCTATAGTTTTGGTATTGTTGATTGGCCAAGAAGCGAGCTTGGAAAAGTGGATTGCAAAACTAGGAAGCTTCTCACTATAAGTGGCTTACATCACCCAAAGGCCGATGTGCATAGGCTGTATATTAAAGGACGAAATGGTGGACGAGGGTTAATAGAAATTGAGTCGGCTTTCAACTCTGCTATCACAAGTCTGAGCAACTATATTGCTCTTAACAGAGATAAATATTGCAAGGCAATAGCAACCCACGATGAAAAGAAGGCGAAATGCTCTATTCAAAAGAAAAGAGCTATCAATATCCTGGCCAAATTCTCTAAATAATGGAGAATTGTAAACTCAGTTAACAACGACAACCTAGTGCGGAAGAGTACTTACTTGTTTTTCATCTTCCACTTGTAACAAAATATTTAATTCATTTTCATTTATTATTTCTCGATGACCTTTATAAATAAATATTATTCTTATTTTTATATTTGCATTTTATTAATACCTGTTGCTGTTGGATTTTTTTGAATTTATAATATTTAATAACTCTTCTGGCCTATTTGGGGAATGTACAAGAAATAAATCCTTTTCAGCGTGTAGACTATTTCTTCCATAATAACAATAAGCTATTTTTGTATCTTCACTTGTACAGGGTGAGTCTTAAATAAGTGCAAATATTTCAGAGATGGTAGATTCCATAAAGAAACATATTTTCCTTTTTACCATTTTTTCTGATAAGTCTAAAATAACCGATTTATTTAAAGTTTGAAAAATTAAAAAAATATTTTTTAAATTTTGAGAGCCACCGGATTTTTTCTTATTTGCATCTCTTTTATTGCCGTAACCGTGTAGTAAAGCCCTAACTATGGTAATATCAAAGATTATAAGAAATTACCGTGGGAAAATTCGCGGTGAACAGGCAAAGTTCTAAAACTTTTCGAAAAATATACAGAGAAATTTATAAAGAAAATGCACGATTTTCAACATCTTTTTTTAAGAAGAAACTCATAGACGTGTTCCTGGGATCGAAATATACCGCCGCTGAAAATATTTGCATTTATTTAAGACTCCACCCTGTATAATTCATAGTTTACAAATTATTTTTAAAAAAAAAAAAAAAAAAAAAAAAAAAAAAAAAAACGTTTTTTAAATCATTTTTTGATAACAATAACGTAAATTTCACAGTAAAAAATGAATTTGAAGGTGGCATGCATGTGGCATGTTTGTTATTCCCATCAGGAACGGAATATTTTGTCAATTAATTCTAGTATATTTTATCTTTTTATATAACTGCAACAAGAATTCGTAGGCGCTATTGAAATTAAACAGTTTGCTTTATTTTAAAGAGTTTTAAAAGTTTCAAATACATTTTTCTGAAAAAAATGAAGAAAACTTATTCATCATAAATATACATGGAATGTAATATGTTTAGATCGGCTATGTAACAGACTGTATTATAGATAGTTAAAAGAAAAAAAATGTCATAAACATATCAGAACAGAATTATCCATATTGCAAGATTTTTTGCATAATCTGCGAATATGTGATATACAGGTTTTTACTCTCGAAAGAAAAATTTCTCAGCGCTATTAAAGAATTTAAAATAAAATTATATACACAATACAGAATTACTTATTATATTTATTTTTACAGACGCACATGAATGTATTTTCTGTTGTTGTAACCAAAGTTAGTTAGTCTTTATCATCTTTAGTGTATGGATCTGGTGGTCGCCTATAAAAACCAGCTGTCATTGGTCTTTTCTTGTATTTTGGCTTCTTCAATTTTTCCTTGGGACATCTCTTACTGGAACCAGTATTGCCGTGTTCGCATGGTGGTGGTTGGCCTTCGTCATACCTCCTCTTTTTGTCTGCCAAGACAGTAGCCTGTTTTAATTCCACGGGCTATAAAAGAAAATTTTACTGTAGATACGATATCAAAGGTCATGAAACTGTACGAAGTTTTTCTACTAATTTTTTACTCAGTTCGTTCAGAACGAAAGAATACCACTAATATTACAGATTTAAAAGTAATATCTTGTAAGCTTTGAATAAAAAGATTAAGGAAGGAGCATATTAAAAATCTTAAATCGACTTCTGCGGGGTCCTACAATGGCCGACTTAAATTCCGGTTTATCAGTGCGCCGTTCTAATTTTATTCAAAAAACGTGTAAAATATATAAAAAAAAAAAAAAAAAAAAACTTGTTATTTTATTTTATTGTCAATAATTGTTGGTAGTTTGCGGTTTGCTAGGTTACAGTGTGGCATATCTGTGTAGTCAGGAGAGTTCTTTCAAAACCTGAAATAAAAATGGTATCCGTATTTAAAAATTGCTAAGCTCTGTATCTCACAAATATCATTAATTTGAAAAACTAAAATACTCATATGGCCTACTAAAGTGGCTATGAGAATGTGCAATTAGTTTTTGATTTTCTTAAAAATAAAGAAAGGTAACAGGAAAAAAATAAAATTAAAAAAAAAAAAATCCGTTTTTTCCAAAAACTCAGCAAAGTTTGAAATTTTTAAAACTTTGATGGCATCTTGGTAAACATCCCAAAGCGCAACTTTGCCCCAATTTTTCCATGTTCGTATCTATTACGATTACCGAGATTTTGTAGCACCCTGTATTCTGATGAATTTGACACTTTATTTAAATTTAATATATTTCGTACTTTTGTGCGTTAAAATGATTGTTTTATACTATACCTGTTTTTTTTCTCAGGTAAGATTTTATTGACAGACGATGACAGAAGAAAACAGATGACGCATACCACCTTATTTATTTTACTAAAAAACTAATAATTTTTAAGTTAACTATGGATGTGTTTAAATATAAAACTGTTATGCGTCAGTTCTGTTGTTTTTAACCAGTTTTAGTGGTTTATTTCAAAAATGACAGATCGTATTTCAATTTTACATGACGCAACGATGAACGAGATAAACGGACGCGGATGCGTATGAACTCGCCTATAGATTTTTGACGCTTGTCAAAGTCTTACAAAATTATAGGTTATAATTTTGTGTCAACTTTGTCAAATACCCTGCGTTTTTTGGAAGATGATGCATTTTGACTCGTGCTATTACTTTGTTTAAATAAAATAACTCGATTACCTACATTTTTTCAGTTTTATACAACTTTTTTCACAATATTTTGAAGTAATCACTTGTTAGTCAAATTTTAAATATTTCCTGCTATGCGTTCCAGTTGTACCAACTTATTTCTTTGTAAATTAAAATAAACTACTTTGAAATTAAAATGACAGACACATCTATCACTGTCAAGGATCTTCTCGTTGGACAGACTATATCAATCACGTCGCAAAAATTAAAACTTTTGTAACGTTTGAAAAAGAAATGTCTTTAAAATACAGAGCTACTACTAAACTGTATTTTATTTTTTGTAATACAGAAAAAAATCAAAGATCTTATTAAAATCGGGGAAAAATAATTTTATTAGGCTCAGTGTCGGAGGCTCACACAAAAGAAAGATTGATGTAAACCCCTGTCAAATATCCAGTCATTAAAAACGGAAATTTATAACTCCCCTACCATTCTTACGCCTGTAATGGTGCCAAGACAATATTTTACACTTCTGGGCGCCATTGTTAGCACGCTTAAGATATTGCTTATGAAATTCCTTTGAAAAATGTCGATGGGTTATTTTGCAAATGCGCGAGACGAGAAGTTTTGCGCTTTTTAAAAACCCAAGAAAACATATAGAAATTAAAACAGACATAAAATTAGATAATTCTCCTTAATTTATTACTTCCTATATTCTCCTAACAGTATAATTAATGCAACAATGTTAGTTTTAAAGTTTTTTATTCAAATTATATTATCATACAACACCTGTCAGTATAATAAAATTTAATTTATTTTCTGCTCTTAACCTGGTCTTTAATCTTGTCTTTCTTTCTCCAAGTTTTTTTAGTCATTTCCTAAAATTAATTTAGAGCATTTATAGAAAACTATTTTTGGCAAAATAAAACACTAATACACCACTATACACCAAAACACTTACTTTTGCACTAGAGGCGTGTTTTGTAAATTATGTTAGCATGATCCGCATTTTTAGATTAAAACTAAAAATATTATGGTGAATTAGTCTTTTATTTTGCTATTGCAACACCGAAAGTTCCAACCCCCCAACTGTAAATTAGTTTTAATTATTAGAAAGTAAATTATACTAGTAACCCAACCTGTTTGCTTCTTATGGTTTGTTTCCTGCATCCAGGTGGTTCACACTTTCCCTCCTAAAAAATATCAATAATGATTGTTGAAAAACAGCTGTCTAATATTTTTTTAGATATACATAAATATACGGGATGTGTGGTACTTACCAGTGGTTCAGTGACGACACTTTTTTTACCTCTACCAGACCACCAGTCAACATCACCATACTCAATATCCGTGTTCTATAAAGAAAGACAGAGCACTGTAACTAAAATTGTCACCGTCTTTCAAAATACCATACGATCGAAAAAAAATCGGCGTCAAAAACGGCTCGGGAATGACAATCGATAATAATTTTAGCGAAGTCAAGCCCTAGATGTCATTTACTTGGCCCGTACTCTTCTTTATTTTTAAAGGGTTTTTTATTGTGTAAAAGTGATTTTTATATGGCGTAGTTTAAAATTCTAAAAAAACTGTTTTTTTAGGTAAAAGATTTGTGTGTCTGGAAACGTTCTATTTTTTTAACCTTTATATAATTAGTGTTAAGTTTTATGTCAATTTCTAGTAAATGACGTCTAGAGAGTGACCTCGTCAAAATTATCATCGGTTGTCATTCCCAGCCCTCTTTGACGCCTTTTTTTTCGGTCATACGGTATTACCCGAAATATTAGGCTATTAATATCTACACAGAAAATCATGTAAATTTATCCAAATTCCAAAATCTTACAGATACAAATACACAGTGTCTCTGAAAATGTGTTATTATCATTTTTAGAAAAATGCGTTCTTCGTAAAAGTTTCTGCTGCTTCAAAAATCGCTAACTCGTTAAAATTTCCATTTTTTTTTATTTTTTTTTTTTTGTTGATCCGGTAATAAATGTATACATATATTACATACATAATTAATTACATATACCGGGTGCGTCTCAAAAGTGGCTCACCCCTATAATTTTTTTATTTTTACAGTTAAAAAAACGAGATTTCAAAGTTTGCAGGTCAAGCTTAATCACGTGACTAAAATTTTATTGGATATGAACGATATTTGATTATTCCCTTTTTTAAAATTTACATGTGACTTCCAAATGTTGAAGTATGAGCAATTTTATACTATGAAAATTCAAACACATAATAATTTAATTGAGTTGCTGCTTTATTTGCGATTTTTTTTTATTTATACAAAGACATATTTTTTTATATTTTAATAAAAATCTGGATCTGCTCTAGTTTTTCTATTGGTTGGATGAATGCACCTGTTCCTCTCTGTATTCTGAAATAAATATACAAAACGATCAAAAATATCAAATGGCTATTTCTCCAAGGATATAGAACTCCAATTTCATATTTAGGCAAGTTACCCATAATATGAAAAAAGATTGTATTATCTTATCACACTTACCTTTATTTCCATCAAGGCGATAAAATGTGTCACAATTCTTTCAAATTAAAACAAAAATAGCAATATGGGGAACTTGCCTTAATATAAATAATTAGATAATTATTTTTTTTAAGTTGTCATTTAAATAAATATATACAAAGGGGATAAAGGGGATAATCACATTAATGCAAATTCCCCAACTGCATTATTATTCAAGACACTTGAACCAACTTAAAATTATATACAATCTTGCAAAATATTATTTTATTGTAACTAAACATTTGCCAAGAGTATATATAACAGTGACAGCCCAAAAGTTTGCAATAAATGAAAAAAAATTAATTGATAAAAATATGCAAAACTAGTTCAATAACAAAAATGTCAGTTTGGGTTTACATGCATCCGTAATGCGTCATATATCGTTCCGTCACTCCAATCATGTTTAAGTACGGCGGTCATTTTTGAAATAAACCAATAAACACACTCATTCTTTAACGGTCATGGTCGTTGGCCGATAAATGTAAAGTGGAATAAGATGACAAGATATCATTTCAAAGACAAAATTTTCCGAAAAATGTACAAAAATACATAAATGTTATATTTCTTAAAGATCTTTCTATTTTTTTTTTGAAAAATATAGCATGCAAATGTAAAATCAATTTTATAAAACTTTCTATTTGTCACTTTTCGATACTTTGTCATGTAACCACATGAGAGTTGAATTGTAAACTATAAGCGACACCAAATACACTTTTAGTTACGTCATCGAGAGCGCAAGTAGTAAATTCATTGTTGCTAACCATGGACATATTCGGCGCCGGCGCCGGGCTAACTCACTAAAATTTAGATTTCCTGCTGGTGATTCAGGTAGTAGCTCTGCTTTAAAAAAGGTCACATGCCACATTTATTTATTTATTTCCTGTCATTTTGGTTCGTTTTAACAGTTTAGTTTTGTATTACGAGCAGACCCCCCCCCTTGCAGTTCAGCAGAAAATTGTTCTTTTTAGAATTTTAGTGCAAAATATACAAAAAGCTGAAGCAGCTTAATAGCCATTGAGATATGATTGAAAACCATGAGTCATCAATTATCATCAGAACCAAACTAAAAGTTTATTTGGTATGACCTATACCGGGTGCGTCTCAAAAGTGGCCCACCCTTATAACTTTTTTATTTTTTTCAGATAAAATCGAGATTTGGTATGTTAGTATATGACATAAATTAGGATTGATTGACATATTCAATTGTTTTCGGTCACTTCCGGTTTCAACGGAAATGACTACATCTTTTGATTTTTAAATGGCACCCTTGGATAGAAAATGACACTCTGAATAGAATGACATATTATATGTCAACTTTTGACATTTTCGCATATGGTGTATTTGAAATTATAACTTGCGGTCCGTAACAAAAATTTGACTCAAAGTGTGTGGCATCAAATTATTCGTAAAAAATGCTTTTTCCAAATATGCTAATGAGCCACCCTCGTTCCATTTGAAAAAAATGAGATATGATTAAAAATACGATTTAGGCATCTTTTAACCGACCAGGACAAGACAGTAAAAACATTAGACGATCAAATCTATTTTTCCAAGGCTCCTTGATTTAAGATTAGTGTTTTTAACACAGCCATTGCACTCTAGACTGAAATTTAAAATACAATTTGTTTTTGAGCGAATATGTCGAAAGTTGACATATGATATGTCATTCGATTCAGAATGTCATTTTCTATCGAAGGGTGCCATTCAAAAATCAAAAGTTGCAGTCATTTCCGGTGAAACAGGAAGTAACCAAAAACAATTGAATACGTCAATTAATCCCAATTTATGGCATATACTAACATACCAAATCTCGTTTTTTTTTTATATGAAACAATAAAAAAGTTATAGGGGTAAGCCACTTTTGAGACGCACCCGGTATATAAAAATTATGCCTCTTTGTTATTGGGTCTCTATATGATTTTTTTCAATAACTCAATTTTTCTCGCCACTTGTTACAAGCATTTTGATGAGCATACTTCGTAAAAAATGTATAATTTCTATAGGGAAATTGGAACAACTTTCGTTGCATTCGTTGCACGTCATCAATGACACCATGCGTCGTCTTATGGAGTTTGCTGGTGGTCGTATTATGATGTGCAACGAAAATTATTTTAATTTCCTTATAGAAAATATCAATTAAAATAGAAATAATTCCATAAATTAATGATACGATGTACTCCTAGAACGTAAGCATAAATAAAATGTAAATAAATAAATGTAGTATTAATGGTATCTCAATCTAAAATCTGATACTATAACCAAATTTAGTTGGTTAGTTTTAGTTTAGTTTAGACTATATAGTATTGTCAAAAATGATCTGATCTTTTCTGAAAATGTCACCAACCACTATTTTTAAAACGTGCTATATATGCAGTGTCATAGATAAAGTCTGCATCATATGGGATTATTTGTATTATTTGATTTGGATCAAATTTGGCTTTGGCGATATTTTTTTTCTTGAAATAGAATAAAAAGGGCATAATAAAGTAACAAATAGGATTATTAGTCAAGTCTTGAGGGACTCCATCAGAAAAAGGAATTTCTTGTTGGTCAGTCAGATCTCCAGTTTGTCGGTCAAATATTTATCTAGTAGTCATATACAAGGTATATCTAGTAGTCATAGTCAAGGTTGCCCACCTCATTCGCCTCGATTGATTATCCGAAAACAAAAAAGTGTAGAAACAAAAGTTTTTATGGGTATTATGTGGGAAGGTAATGTTCATATAATTTAAAATTATTTTGAATTATACACATTGTTTCAGAATAACATATTCTGGAGAGCAAAGATATTTAAACTCAAGAGATACAATGTTTACCTTTTTTCTTCATCGGCCATAATTCTATCCTTATTTTCCCATCTCTCTTACACCGAAAAAATTTGCCAGATTTATCTGTATATTAGTATTAGTATTCGATTAAATACCACAACAAGTAATAAATAATTTCGTTATATTTCTATAATATAAACAGGGTGTTTCAAAACAAATGCGAAAAACTTCAGGGGGTGACTCCTTGTTCAAAATAAAGGGTAGTTTGCTTCATAAACGTTGGGTCAAAAGTCAACCATTAGGGAGATATTGCGGTACAAAGATGGCGGAAAAATAATATTTTTATTTTTTATCTTGAAAACGAAAAGAGATAGACTAACAAAATTTTATGGAAGCATTACTGTTATGAAAACACACTTTCTGGTAATTTTTTCACTTTTTTAAAATGAGTGGAAGGGGTTGAAATAAACTACCCCTATCATTCTTGTTAACGAAATTTAAAGAAAAATCTTATCAAACACATGCAAAAAAATTAATTTGGATAGTTTAGTTTGTTTAGAAACTTTTTTATCTCTTGTATTTTTTTGATAAAACTCGCCGATTTGAAATTAAAAAATAAAATGTAAAGCATTACATGTCAGGACAAAAAACATTTTCTGATAAAGAATCTAGTGGGCTGCTGTAATTTTTTTAGGAAAAAATCTAGTCGGCCGCTGTTACTTTTTAGGATGTTCCTAATATTATTTTATTTGACATTACTCTACTGCAATACGTTATTATCTAGATGATTATTATTATCGTTATTATCACTAGATTCTTAATCTAAAAATGTTTTTTGTCCTGACATGTAATGCTTTACATTTTATTTTTTAATTTCTAATCGGTGAGCTTTATCAAAAAAACACAAGAGGTAAAAAAGTTACTAAACAAACTAAACTATCCAAATTAAAGCATTTGCATGTGTTTGATAAAATTTTTCTTTAAATTTCGTTAACAAGAATGATATGGGTAGTTTATTTCAACCCCTTCCACTCATTTTAAAAAAGTAAAAAAATTACCTGAAAGTGTGTTTTCATATCAGTAATGCTTCCATAAAATTTTATTAGTCTATCTCTTTTCGTTTTCAAGATAAAAAATAAAAACATTATTTTTCCGCCATCTTTGTACCGCGATATCTCCCTAATGGTTGACTTTTGACCCAACGTTTATGAAGCAAACTACCCTTTATTTTGAACAAGGAATCACCCCCTAAAGTTTTTCGCATTTGTTTTGAAACACCCTGTATATCAAGTACATTAATTTGCTAACGTCAATTTTTTCATTTAATACTTAACTATTTTAAATTTTATAATGGAATTAGAATATCATGGTCGTGTTTCTTTTAATAATAAAAAGCAATTTCGCAACGAACGAGTTTAAATATCTTTGCTGGAGAGCAATAAGCTATTTTTATATAATTTTTCATTCAACTTAAGGCAAAAACTAGGTCCAATGCCAAATTTCATCTATAAGATTAAATTCAAAATACTATATGATCGAAAATAAACTTTGATCGTATAATATATACTTAATAACAAAGTCTAAATAATTTTGGAGAAACTTACATCGTATGCATTTTCCTTTGGTCTTTTTGGCTTCTTGCCTTTTCGGCAATTCGGAGGTTTTTGTTTTTTCTCGCACATCAACAATTGTTCGATGTCATTCTTAGAAGGAAGGTCCATCCATGATCCATTCATTTCCAGCCTAAAAGCGATATATTATAAAATTAGAAAAAAACAACATTTTTTTTTTCCTTGTTATACCGGATGCCTCTCAAAAGTGGCTCACCCCTATAACTTTTTATTTTATCAGATAAAAAAAAACGAGATTTGGTATGTTAGTATATGACATAAATTAGAATTGATTATCGTATTCAATTGTTTTTAGTAACTTCCTGTTTCATCGGAAATGATTACAACTTTTGATTTTAAACGGCACCCTAGGTATTTTTTACTTTATTCGATAGAAAATGACATTCTGAAATATGATAGAAAATGATTCTGAATAGAATGACATATCATATGTCAACTTTTGACATTTTTGCCTAAAACAATATTGAATTTAAAAATTCAATCTAGAGTGCCATGGCTGTGTTAAAAATACAAATTTTTAATCAAGGAGCCTTGGAAAAATAGATTTGATCGTCGATCGCCATGTTGGTCACATTGCGCCGCGATCAGCAATGTTGCCGTTTATTTACTTGGCAATTATCATAATGTCAGTCATTATTTTGTACAATATCGTGTTGTTGTTGAATTTTTAGGAGTAATTATCGTTTTATTGCCAATTTTCATAGTCAAAAATTGTACTTTTAAGCACAGTTCTTTTAAGAACTAAATTTTTTGGAGTTTTTGCATTGCATTTCTTGAAATTGTGTATCGAAAATATGCGAAAGCATTTAAACAGTGGAAGCAAAGAGCTTGTAGCTTTCCTGATAAACTATTTTGAACGAGAACATGAAAATAAAGGTCCTTTATTACCTTTGACTGCAGTTAGAGGAGTAAGTTTGATTGGTAAACACATTATATAATTTTCAAAATTATGTCTTATTTCGATTTATAGCGACTAGCTGGCTGCCTTAAATTTAAATATTGCTACTGTGAGTGTTAGTGACTACTGTTAATAAATAAATTAATTACTAAAATATTAGTTATTAAATTAAAAATAAAACGTAAAAATCTTTAAAAAATGATATAATAAATATATTGTGTCCCAATTTTACATTAAGATTCATCTCATAAGTATATCAGTCTTGTAGCGCTGTCGCCATCGCTTGTCATTCAAAGTTGATCACGTGCATCGGAAATTGTTTTGCAATTACTTTACAGGGGGAGTCTTAAATAAGTACAAATATATTTAGGAGTGGTATATTTCGACCCCAAAAACACGTCTATGAGTTTTTTTCGCAAAATAAACATTTTGAGAGTTTGGTATTTTTTGGAATTTTATAGGGATCTCTTTTAATTTTTAGTTAAAAACATAATATCTTGATATCATAAGCCAGTCGCCAAGTATTAAAAAATAGCTTATGGCGGGAGCAAATCCGGACAAGCTAGAATAAATTTTATTTTGTTTAGTTTAGTGTAAGGAACCACGTGTTAAATTTGCACCACCCCCAAAGCCCGGATTTGGCCGCCATCTTAGAAAAAGTGGCTAAAATTCGGTTTATTTTTCATTATTTGTCAATAACTGTCTATCAACTTCAGTGCAAAAAATGTATAGACCAAAATTAAAGAAGAGGAAAATCTCTATAAAAAACGTTCTATGTACTTTTTCCGTTCGACGACCCGTTCCCAAGTTATCTCGCTTTAAACACGCTAAATATATTATAACCAGTTATTATTTCCTCTGTTCTAGGCAGTTTTTGTCTTTCCGAGAACCTTACTCTTTGTATTTCTTCACGGATTTAGTGGCTGCGACACCACATCCGCATTATACAGACAAGGAAAAATGAAATGTTCCTTTGAAAAAGTTTTACAGAAAGAAAAAGAATTACAGACAGCAGCACAAACTTTCAAAGATCCAAACGCATCCCCAGAAGATATAGAAAAAGCTGGAGAACGATTTCTTCTTCATCTATATGGATCCAAAAAATGTGACTCATTAGATAAGTACTGATACCAGTGTTTCGTAAAATCTATTACCAAACTCATTACCACCGACCAAAGACGCAGCTCGCTTGCACTCCTTCCGTACGTACAGTCAGGTAGAGCTATGGTATGGAAATGAAAAATCACCTCTAGATTGGGGATGGAAAAATTCAAAGAATGGGTTTATGCCCATTGCTACTTCCCAAGATGCAGTTCCCAAGAATTATTAAATCTGATTTCATGTAAATGTGCCAAAGGTTGTAATACATCTTGTAGTTGCCGCAAAGCAGGTTTGCGTTGCTCGGTAATGTGTAGTGTGTGCACTTTGTCAGGGCCAATCATGTTCGAATAGTTTGGAGATGGCATAATTAGACGAAGATGAGTACGAGGACAATTTTCCTCTCGATAAAGATCAACGAAAAGAATATTCTGCACCTTATGAACCAGATCCGGAATATGATACAGATGTGGAAGACATTCTGGAAGATTATATTGAACAGGCAGTGACATCAAAAAAACGAAGGAACTCTGATGAACCTTCCACCTCAAAAGAAACCTAAGTTGACGACATGTGGATTAGGCCTATTGGAAATGGGGAGACCACTCAAAAAAACGCGCAGGGTACTTTACCTCAAAGCAGTTCCCTGAGAGATAAGACGGTTAAACTTGATTTTCCACCAGTCGCGCAACAATAAAAATTTAGTCCGTTATTGCAGTCAGAATGCAAATTGCGTTCTTCCATTATGACCGCGACAGCACACTACTGCCAACCAGTAGCAAACAAGTTTTTAGGCTTTATGTCTTGGGGTGCCGTTCAAGGTGGTGTGGAAACAAGTACAGTTAAACAAGTACAGTTCATTTTGTTTTCGTAAAATTCGATACTTTGGGTAGCACATGGGTAGTAAAAAAACCATACAATGTTTTTTATAGAGTTTTTCCTCTTCTTTAATTTCGGTCCTACATATTTTACATTAAAGTTGATAGAAATCGAGTTATTGACAAATAATGAAAAATAAACCGAATTTTAGCCAATTTTTCCAAGATGGCGGCCAAATCCGGGCTTTACGGGGAGTGCAAATTTAATACATGCTTCTCGACACCAAACTAAACAAAATAAAATTTATTCCAGCTTGTCCGGATTTGCTCCCGCCATCGATGCACTTGCCGACTGGCCTAATCATGGCAACATACAAAAAAAAAGAATTTACAAGAAAGAAAACTCAGAAGAGACCCAATGGTACTCAAAATTTTAATAAAAAGTATTTTTTTGAAATTTTTAAAGTAAAATAACCCGGTTATTTTGGACTTATTTGAAAAACGCTATTGTAAATATTTTCTAATTTGTTTTTGTGATTTTACAATAAATTTAATGGCCACACTAAAAACAGTAGGTTTCTCGTAAATAATTCACTAAATCTTTTTTTG